GAATCGTTTGAAAACCTTCTACTTTGCATATGTTTTTATAAGGTTAATACGATAGACATCTCGTCGATATTTATACGACTTAACCGAACCGATACATCTATCGTTTCTTATCAGGATTTTCCGACTGACGATCATCTTCTGTACGGCAGCTAATCGTTATCTATCGTATATCAACGATATTAACCGAATTGTTTAGAAGCAGCAGACGGAAAAAATTTCTATGAAAATCATATTTTATGAATACCCAGACAGCACCAAGTCCAAAATCGGGACATAACACGTCTTTTAGATGCTTTTTAGACGTCTTATGTCCCGCTTTTGGACATGCGTGCTGTCTGGGTATTCATAGAAATTTTTTGATTTTCATACATCTAATAATTCAGATATATGAAAAACTATGAATAACTACAATTTTTTATATTTTTTCACAGAAAGCTATGGATTTTTATGAAAAATTAAGTTGAATATACTAATTTCTACGCGTGCTGTTTTTACGCCAGAAGAGCTGAACCAATTTTGATACTTTTTTATAGAAAATTATGAAAAATAATTTTAACTATATGTTAGATAAACTTTCACGGAATTTTTAATAATAAATTAAACGCCAGTCTGTAATTAATCTTAATTTATTAGAAATATGTTTTATATAAGTGTACAAATATGAAGAATTATGAACAGATACATTTTGTTGTTTTAACTGATAATTAAAGTGATATATTAATATATAGTTATAATGTTTCAAATTGGTTCGGCATTGTACAAAGAAATTTGTCACATTTCATTTCGACGACCACAAGTTTACGTTTTATCAGCTAAATCGGAATTATTTTTTTATCTTGTGCTTTGCTAGTAACTTGTAACATATGATTTATTCTTAATTGATTATAGACCGCAGGCATGGTTGTCAGAACTTTACAAACGACAAAGCAACATTTATTTACAATAATAAAACTTAATATTTTGATAATTGTATCATTGTCTAATTGTACTACAGAATCGTTGGTTTTAATAGTTTTACTGTACGCTGCAGTGTGGAGCACAATTCCGCTAAATATGCACCTTTCATATACATGTACCTCTTTATTATTCATGAAATTCTTATAATAGTTACTATAACACTTTAACAAGCTACAATATTTATCCGCATTTTGTACTAATTTTGGAGCACCTGAAAAGCACCTCCCAAGTATTTTGCAACGTGAGTTTCTGATAGAATACCGTAAATAAACGATTCACTAATTATATTAAAAACGATAAAAACTGATATATAGCTGATAAGATATTTACGATAGGATTCCAAGTATTTTGTAACGTGAGTTTCTGATAGAGTACCGTAAATAAACGATTCACTAACCATATTAAAAACGATAGAAACTGATGTGCAGCTGAAGACATTTACGATAAGATTTCAAGTATTTTGTAACGTGAGTTTCTGATAGAATACCGTAAATAAACGATTCACTAACCATATTAAAAACGATAGAAACTGATGTATAGCTGATAAGACATTTACGATAGGATCCCAAGTATTTTGTAACGTGAGTTTCTGATAGAGTACCGTAAATAAACGATTCACTAACCGTATTAAAAACGATAAGAAATTTTTTTATCGTTTTCTATCGGAGATGGTTACCAGGGAACCTTTTTGATGCATTAACCACTTGATCAAATTGGTCCCTGGCATCATCCTTTAATCCATTCTGTGCACCGGAAACAAGCCTCCAAGCCTGGACATAGTCCACATATTCATATACACCCACATATACATATTCATGTATAATGTACCAAATATAATTATTATGTAATAATTATTTTTTATTAACTATTATGTAATAAATAATAATTAATGAATTATGATATTTCAAAATTTGCAATGTATTTATGAGTGCTAAACGAGTATTTTCAAAATTTGCTATGTAAGTACATATTTATGAGTGCTAAACGAGTATTTTGTACTCGTAGCTAAATGTACATTTTTACGCCTCAAATTTACACACAGCACGTATTTATCACTCAAAAATACTCCTAAGAATACGTTATTACTACTCGGATATACTCGTACGCAATCCGCTTTAACCACTCGTTTTTAAGCAAAAGGACCGCTTTGCGCCCCAAAAACGGGTCGTACTCATTAAACCAAATGCACGTTTTTACTACTCAAACTTGACCGTTTTCGCGGTCTAAAAACGGTGAAAAATTTTTATAAGGGAACAGAAACATCATAGCCACCACTATAGTTTCAAATAACATAAACTTCTGGAGAAGTGCATTAGCTTCATTGCGTACTTTTGGATTAAATTCTTGGGAGTTTCCAATCATACAAAAAGTCACAACTAGTTCCACAAACACTGTTTCTGATTGTGATGTGTTATTTGTGACTTTACTGTCGAACCAATAATGGGAGCAATTAAAAATTTTGATTGTTGCATCGCTTCTTGATCTCCACCTAGTGGCTCCAATAGCTCCTAGACGTACTTTTGGGTTCTGATGTAAGTACACAGATAATCTTTTATGTGAGTCCTTGATAAACACTTCTGTCTGCTGCAATAATGCAAAAAATGATATGGTTGCTGGTAAACACTGAGCATTATTACGAGGTTCAATACATGCGTATAGCACCAGGTATAAAGGTGGTTTAGTATTATATCCTTGAGTCTGGATGAGACCCCGCTATACTCGCCGCTCATGTTTAAAACACCATCAAATACATTTCCTATGCAGTTTTCTACAGCAAGTCCTGTACTATTAAAAATGTCCAGCAATGTGTTGAACAAAGATTCCCCTGTAGTGGACTCGACACACTTCAACCCTATGACTTTCTCATTTACTTCATTTTCGAACAGATACCTAAATACTATAACACACTGATCGTAACTTGATACATCCATGGTTGTATCCATTAATACAGAAAAAAATTTTGCTTGCTTTATTTTATTCGCAATGTCAGTCTGGATTGCAAGCTTGATAATGTTTATTATTTTTGTAACAGTCGTCTTACTAAGAAATGTGACCTGAC